CCTGTATAATGAAAGAAGCCACATTAAAATAGTCCTTTGTGAGTGCCTCTCACAAAGTGCCTTTCAAGTGTCTCTCTTGAAATGGCCCAGCTCAGGCTCCAAAGTGGGGAAAGCTCATTTTTCATTAGGAAGAATTCACACTGTGACTGTAAGACTCTGGAGGCTGAGGGAATCATGCCCTGGCAGCCTGGGTACTCACGCTTCAGCAGTGGGGCCCACAGCCCTATAGTTAGCTGTGGTACTGATCAGCTCCGTTTCCTCATAATCTTTGTTCACACCATCTCGCCGTTCCTTGGCACGGTCACGATATTTCTCTGCTAGCTCTCTCTCTCTCTCAATTTCTTGTTGACGAAGCTTGGCATAATAACTGTGACCACAGAAAAGCAAATGCATAAGGCTCACTATCCCAAGGTCAGTAGAATTCTTCCTATTTCATCCAACTGTCTGGTGAAAGCTCACATATGTCCTGATAGTACTGCTGTCACCCTCAAACAATCCTCAAAATCAGAACTATGGCTTCATCCAGTTCAGAGAGATACTCTTTCAATGCTGCCTCAGGACATTCCATGTCACTTCAGAATTCTTTAATGCCGTATCATTGAGTCTCTAACAGGTTATAAGACTTTTCCATAGGACAACTAAGAAGTTATCTAAATTTATATCACCTTCCATATTTCAACTAAAAATAAGTTATTCCTTGTTGGTCTTCCCCAAAAAGAAAGGACAGCAAAATACCAGGTCCAGGAATTTTAGTATCTTATAGATAATGATGATAATGATGGTGGTGACAACAGCAGATAGGATTTATTGGGTAATTATATTAATATCCCAGGCACTAAATGCTTACATGCACTATCATAATTGATCCTCTTGACAACCAGATGAAAGTTACAAAATCACTCTCTGTTCTACCCATTAGAATATCAAGAATTAGAAATATTAGGGACTATGCCCACAGTTATCTTTTGTCTTTTCAGGAACTGGTAAAGTTGAGACTGAAATCCTGCAGTCTGACTCCAAAGTCCTAAATTCCCACTTATCACTCCTATCCACTAGAGAACCTCAAGACAGTACAGAAAAATCTTAATCTCTAGCCTCATAACTACTAGCCCCTATGCCTTTCACCCAAACACTATCCAATCTATAGCCCAACATTCCCCTATCTTTCCTTCACCTCTTCTTTTTTCTCCTTCGTGCAGCTGGGTCTTCATCCTCATTGTACTCCCTTGGCATCCTAGAAGACAGAGAAATTCACTAATGGCAAAATATTGCCAGAGCCCCAGAAAACCCCAACAAGTGGCCTTGAGGAATGAAGAAAGGTCTAAAATATGGAACAAAGCAACAGCTTCGACCATGCAGAGATCCAGGTCTACATTTGTAGGTGAGTGGTCCTAAGCTTTAGAAAGTATCACAACCACCTGAAGTATCTGAGTCTACAGGGCTGGAATCGACCCTGGAAGCTGCCCATTTAAACACTAGCAGCAACTCTAATAGTACAAGTGGTGTGTGGAACACACTGTCAGATCTTAGAACACCCTCATCTTCACTGGAGCTTCAATCTCCAGTCAGAGAGAATCAGAATCATAGGCTTTGAAAAAGAACTAGCCTTCCAGCTCCTAAGACAACTAGTTTGGTAGATTTTCTGTAGGAAGGAGATGGGGGGAAAAAAAGGAGATGTGAAACAGGTTGGAAAACCCCAGAACTTACTCATGGTGACGTGATTTAGAGGGCGGTGCAGAGGTGGGTGCAGCCCTTGGGGTCATGAGAAGTTTCCTGAAATCTTCATTGGTGAGTTTTGATCTAGAAGGCAAAAATTTTAAAAATTAGTACCCAATAAGAATTGGGAAAGGAGTATGTAAAATACATGGTTAACTTTATTAGAAATCAGGAAAATATAAAACAAAAACATAGCACTCTTAATGCTTCAAAGCGCTATTAAAAAGTCTGATTAATCAAGTATGAGTGAGAATTTGGGAACTGAATATTCCGCTAAGGGGAATGTACATCAGTATAGCCAATGGGACGGCAACCTGCCTGTATCAAAATTTAAGTGTGTATATCCTATGACCTAGCAACACCATTCACCTATATTTAGATTCAATAATTACTGGCATAGGTGTATAAAAAGTCTTGTAAAAAAAGGTTCAATTTCAGCTTTGAAAGTAATACAAACTTGGAAACAACCTAAATGTCCATTAACTAGAGACTAAATGGTAACAGTGTTTCCCAACTGGGAGGCAGAGAGCAACGAAAGAGATAATTTTAGGGGCACCTGCCTGCCTTCAGCTTAGATCATGATCTCGGGGTCCTGCAATTGAGCCCTGTGGCTCAATGCCTGTATGGCGTCTGCTTCTCCCTCTCCACCTCCCACTTGTATGTGTGTGCACACTCTCAAATAGATAAACAATATCTTTAAAAAAAAGATAATTAAAAAAAAAAAAGATAATTTTAATCGGTACAGTGACAAAGACTCACTCCTTGACCAAACTTTAGTCAGGCCCCGTTGAGCCCTCTTCTGACAGGCTGCCCCTTAGCCTGCTATGCCCAGTTTGAGCAAAGAATCCTGCTAAGTGTTCCCAAGGAAGACATTTACTATAATAGGAATAAAGACTACTGCAACAGGGGAGAGGGAATGAAACTCAACTCTGAATACAAACTGGGACAACTGGGGATTTATAAAGAAAATCACTAAGAGGAACTTGGGGGGGATCCCTGGGTGGCGCAGCGGTTTGGCGCCTGCCTTTGGCCCAGGGCGCGATCCTGGAGACCCGGGATCGAATCCCACATCGGGCTCCCGGTGCATGGAGCCTGCTTCTTCCTCTGCCTGTGTCTCTGCCTCTCTCTCTCTCTCTGTGACTATCATAAATAAAAAAAAAAAAAAAAAAAAAAAAATCTAAGAGGAACTTGGTTAGCCATGGGAGGGGGGGGGGGGGGGCCTTGACTGAATCTACTTCACTGGAGCTTCAATCTCCAGTCAGAGAATCTGACTTGATTACTTAAGGGGATTCTCCATAAATTGTATTAGCAGCATTCTTTGCTAAAACTGAGCCTAGCAGGCCTAGTCAAAAATAGACCCCAGAGAAGTCTGAGGAAAGTCTAGTCAAGGACGAAGTCCTTGGGGCACCTGGGTAGCTCAGATGGTTAAGTGTCGACTCTTAGTTTTGGCTCAGATCTTAATCTCCAAGTCTCCAGTTGGAGAGATCAAGCCTGTGTCAGGCTCCTCATTCATCAGGGAGTCTGCTTCCCTTCTCCCTCTCCCTCTGCCCCTCCGTGTTGCTCACACATACTCTCTTTCTCAGAAATAAACAAATCTTTAAAAAAAAAATCCCTTTAGGGATCCCTGGGTGGCACAGCGGTTTGGCGCCTGCCTTTGGCCCAGGGAGCGATCCTGGGGACCCGGGATCGAATCCCACATCGGGCTCCCGGTGCATGAAGCCTGCTTCTCCCTCTGCCTATGTCTCTGCCTCTCTCTCTCTCTCTCTCTCTCTTTCTCTCTCTATCATAAAATAAAAAATAAATAAATAAATTTTAAAAATTAAAAAAATTGTCTTTAAAAAAATCCCTTTATATATACATATATGCATGTTGGAAAATACTTTATTATTTGTAAGTTGAAACATTAAAATTAAGTAGCATTATTTTATTTGTATATATAAATAAAACACCTACTGCCACTTGCTTATTTTCCATCCTGGAGATGATTTTCATGGCAGTGACCCAGACTCCTTTTTTTTTTTTTTTTTTAAAGTAAGGGGGTAAAAAAGACGTAAAAAAGGAACAGTGGTTACCTTTAAGAAAGGAACTGGAATTAGGATTATTATCAAACACATCATTACCCTCACTTCTACTTTAATTTTCTACCAGAATCAACTATTATCATGTGTAATTAAACATTAACTTTAAAAACTGGCACCCTCCCAGTCAGAATTTTCCCTCTAATATTCTCATGCAGTTGACCTGATCCAATGAAAGTTCAGAGATAAAGGGGAAAGGATACACTTTTTTTCGCCATCCTTGCTGACAAGACATTTAGAATTATTTCACCATCACCACACCACTCTATTCATCCCTCAGTTCATGCCCAGAGTACTATCTTGGAACACTCACTGGTGGAAGGAGTGAGGATCATCCACATCGTGGCCATCTGGAGCCAAAGGGTTGGAGAACGGCTCACCTAAAAAAAAAAAGAAAAAAATTGACGTTAATTTAATCAATCTCTTTCGTGTCAGTTCCTGTGCCAAAGTTGGGACTCTATTAGTAAACAACACTGATGTTTTCTTGTCAAATTGCTCAGTCCAATGAGGAAGAAAACACAGCGACAGTGACAATACAACGTAATAAATGCCCAAGAGAGAAAATACAAGGAGCTGCTGGGGCAGAGAAGGGGGCCCCTAAACCGGCGCTGGAGAATTAGCAGATACTTCCGGAAAATGACATCTAATATACTCTGTGTTAAGATAAACTGGCGCAGCCCAAAGTCAGGTGCTGGCGGTAGCGAGTAGTTCACAAACACACCCCTGGTTATTTGGGGCAAGGACAAGGCTTAGGAAGACAATAGTCCGGAGCTGCCTGGCTTCATTCGAGACCCAACGGCTTCGCCAGGTTCCAGCGTCACACCAGCTACACAGGGCTTAAACTGTGAAGTGAAAACAACGTGCCAAGCGTCCCAAATCCTGCAGGTAATAATGGACAGATGACCCGAGACTTACTGTCTCGTTCCGGCATTTCGTCGGCGGTGTTTCAACGCCAGCAGGGTCTGAAGCTCCAAAGACAACACAGCCCGGATAAGCTTTTTCCCACCATGCACCTCAGGAGCCAGCCCACAGTGCTTTGCGCCCCAAAACCTTTCCGCCACCGCCCACTCGCGAAGAAATTGGAGAGAAAGCAGACCACTCCCTCTGCAATCCTTTTAAGGCATTGGCTAACTCTTACCGCTCCGTACGTCATCTAACTCTCGCGGGAACTGTAGGGACCGGGACTGGTCGGATTGGAGAACTTGACCGGAAGTTCTTGGGCGGGGAGTTAGGCACTAGCGGAGATGGCGGGTGCCGCAGCGAGTCTGAGAATTGGGGCTAAAGTTGGCTTGCGTGAGATTCGCGTCCACTTGTGCCAGCGCTCGTCCGGCAGTCAGGGCGTCAGGTGAGGTGCAAGGTGGTGGGGCCGGTAGGCTTCGGGGCGCCAGGTCATGACCTCTACCTCCCGGGTGTTTGGGGGAGGCCGGTGCGAAGACCTCACGCACTGCTTTCTCTCCTGCCCCGTAGGGAATTCATCGAGAAACACTATGTGGAGCTGAAGAAGGCGAACCCTGACCTGCCAATCCTAATCCGCGAGTGTTCCGATGTGCAGCCCAAACTCTGGGCCCGCTACGGTGAGCAAGAGAAGCGGGCCGCCTGGGACCATGGGAGAAGGGCATCCAAGGTCATGCAAAAACCTGTAGGGAGGCTAAAACTCGGGACTTCGGCCTTCCTGTTGACGTTGTTTCAGATAAATTTACATTTTATCGAAATATAAGGTTATAGAATGCTGGTATCTGGAGTAACATCACTGTGGAGGCGGGGCCCTGTCTTGAATGGGGACCAGGAACCGTCGTTTTCCTAATTCAAGACAGGGTTCAGATGCTTAAGAAGAAAGAGATGCTTGTCAACTCCCATCGACGTGAGTCCTTATACATTAGGTGGGAAATGTCATTTCAGGTAGTGTGATACCCTCCGTAATACAAACATATAATGACTTCAGAATCTTCTTGCCTAAATCTCGTTTAATCTTAACTAATTATAGGAGGGGGTATATTCTTTCTTTTCTCTTTGTAGAGATTAGGTGAATCGTTTTGGAACAGGGTCACTTGGCTGGTTCAGTCAGTAGAGCATGCGACTCTTGATCTTGGGGTGAGCTTAAGCCCCATGTTAGGCAGAGCTTACCAAAAATATTTTTATGGGACATAACTGTTACATAGCTAGGATATAACAGAGATGAGCCTTTACACGTGTACCCCTAGGGTACACTTCTACCAGATTTTCACTTCTACCAGATTCCTAGGGTGCACTTCTACCAGATTTTCATGGCTAATTCGTTAGAATTCACATGTTTGTTATTCAGATCTGAACCTACGTATCACCTCTTCAATGAGGCATTCCCTGGCAAGTTATGTAACATTGTCCTTAGCTCAATTTTGTCATATTCTCTATTTAAGTTTACCACAATCTGAAAATTAAGTGTCATATTACTTGATTCGTAGTGAGCACACAGTACATATTACACTTACTGAATAAAGGTACTGTAATCACCTTTTAACTACACCTGCCCTCTAGGAATGTCGGGTGGAAGTCACACATAAGTTAGACTGGTTCTAACAGTAGATAACTGTAGTATGCGTTAAAAATTGGAAGAAGGAAAAGCCAGTAGACTAAAGAAGGAGATGGACACAGATTAGTATATTATACTAGGACTGTAGGAGCCATAGACTTCACACCCAGCCAAGGCTAGGCTCACTCAAAGCACTGTTCACAGTGATTAATAATAAATACCTATCAGGCCCCTAAAAATGGCCCTAAAACATCTTCCTTCACATTGTGGCCACCCGGAATCAGCCAAAATTCTACTTGGACCTGGGCTTCCTAGATGTGTTCGAGACCCACTGGATATTCTAGGCATCTCAAATACACCTTGATCATATGTCTTTACTACTTTTCCTATCCTAACAAGACTAAGTTGAAGACAAAGATCTTTTATTAATGTTTTGGTTGCCCCCACAGAGCATACTAGATATTTAGTCCCCTCTTTCTCCCCTCAGCATTTGGCCAAGAGAAGAATGTCTCCTTGAACAACTTGAGTGCTGATCAGGTAACCAAAGCCGTGGAGAATGTGCTAAGTGGCAAAGCCTGAAGCCTCCACTGATTGTTAAGAGCAACAACAGCCCCACAACTTGGGCTTTGTTGAACTGAGTAAAATGTGAAAAAATGTGTTCTGTTCCTTTGCCGAAGAATGCCATCTCTGGATGTTCTTATACTCATTTTACCCTTCAACCCTTAACCTGCAACCACTGAGGCAAAACAGTTTAATATAAAAATAAAACTTTATTCTGTCCCATCAAAAACTACCGGCTGCTAATGGGGAGGGAAAAAAGATTTGAAGGCCCACATCAAATTCCCTTTGGTTCTCCTGCCTGGATAGTACTGGGTCAAAGAGGAGGAACTGAGCTTTGAAGGTCTTGTCTTAGGCATAGGAACAGAAAGCATTAGATGTCATTATGGTTCTAAATCCTCAAAAGGGGATCCATGGGCAAGAAAGCTGGTGGCGGGGGGAAGGAGGGGCGGTGATGAGTAGAATGAGTGCCATCAAGCAGGTCACCTATGAAGAGCTGTCTTCTGGAGAGCATGCACACGATCCTGGAGCTGTGTTGCCTCCTGATGCCTCTCCAGGACCTGCAGCCCTGATTGCTGCAGAAAGGCCTCTGCAGTCTGAAAGAAGGAAAGAAAAAGATTCAACACCTGGGGCCCTGTGACCCAACACTCAATTCCCACAGCCTTATAGGTTAGCCCACCTCTATTTGGAAGAGTGCCTTCCCAATAAGAAGTGGGACGTTCTGACCTGGAGTCCATGTAGGCTTGCCAGGCCCAGAGAAGTGACTACAGATAGGATGGGAAGGAAAGGGGCCATGGGGAGATCAGAGCAGGGGTACCAGGGCCCAAACTCACCTCTGGCTGATAGAGGAACAACAGTTGCAGCAGCTCTAAACTGTGGCCTACTACTTCAGTGTCAGAGAAGGCCAGCGTGCCTATCAAGCAGGGGAGCAAGGGCCCTGGCCACAGACGATGACAGTAAGCAGGACCCTTCTCTGCCACGTTGCACAGAACTGTGAGCACCTGCAGAGACATGTATACATAGTCCCCACAAAAGATGAAAACTAAAGACTAATGATAGCTAAGATACACGGAGTGCTGAGCACACAGCCAGGCACTGTGCCAAGCACTTAGATGCATGTTTTGTAATCCCCACAGCTGCCCTCAGGTAGCATTGCTATTCTCAGTATGAATTAAAATTCATAAAATTATACTTCAACTAAAGTTCAAAGTCGTAAGGTGATTTGCCCAAGGTTAGTAACTAGTAAAACAGTTTAAGGACTCACACCTAGACTGGTCTGACCCTAATGTCATCCATACCATACCACCTGCCAGCTCTTGGGTAAGAGTACTTCCGAGTACAAAGGCCTGCTCCCAATGTTTTTATTTTGCCACAAGATCCTGGACTTAAGTGACCCCAATCAATACCTACCAATACGCTCACCACGTTAGAAACTGGCAGCAACTGCAAGAGGGGCTCAATCAGATCCATGGAGAGCAAGGAGGTACAGAAACTAGGACTATTTGCTGGAAGGGAAAATGTCAGAGTAAAGTCCCTTAAACTAGGCCTGAAATTGCTCCCCCTGCCCCGCTCCAATCCTACCCACCTCAGCCCAGGCAATGAGGGCGCACACCCAGAATCTTAAAGGTCCAGGCCTAGGCACATTACGGTACATACCAGTGAGGTTATTCAGGAGCCAGAGGCCCTCAGGCAGAAGGCTGGGCTGTTTCTGGAGGAAGAACTGCAGGAGGATAAATAAAGCGGCCACAACACGCTCATCTTCAAGCTGATTTGGCCCTCCCACAACCTCCACTGCTGCTTCTGTTAGCAGGTTGCTTAGACACCGAAGCACAGGGCATGCCAGCTACAAGCACAAGTGGGGAAGCATCCTGTCAGTAGGAAGAGGATACCTACATACTGGAGGGGGAACAAAGTAGGAAAAAGGGTAGCCCAGATCCTGAGTTGCCCTTTTCACCTACCAGCTCCATCCTTGCATCCTCAGTTCTCTGGACAGCCCCAGCCATGTCTACTAGCAGCAGGCCCAGAGTGGACAGACAACCATGGGAGATAAGCAGGGCATTGTTGACCTGGCTGGGCAATAGAAAGCAAGTAGTCACTACTAGGTCAATCCCATTTTTAAGATGGCAAATGGCCTAGTTCTGTGGGTTTCCTGGGCTTCAAGCAGAGAAGACCACAGAAGGAAGAAAACTCCGTGCGCTTCCAGAAAACAAAGTTCAAAAACCTGAGTGTCCTGAAAGGGAGCCCCAGGGAAGATCTGTGGCACTTTTGGAAATGGTCTGTGTTACCTGCAGATGATATAGTGCAGGCACCAGGCAAACTCCACAGCGACTCCAAGGTTCAGCTTTGGGCCAGGTTGCAACAGTTGCAGGATATGCTGGGGGAGAGTGGAGCCCAAAACGGAGCTGCCAGCAGAAGGAGAGCTAATGGTTGGAACCACAGAAGGCAAGATGCCAGTCATTCTTCCCAAACCCTAATAGCAGGTGGGAAAGTATCCAAACTCAAATCTCTCCCAGCCAGACACATCAAGCTAAAATGTGCAAGTTTTGGAAACAAGACTGGATCTGGTGTCCAGGGGCTACATCACCAAGTAGGTCATGCCTGCCTCCACATCTGAAGACACAATTTTACTTACGGGATGATCGCCTCTGGAGCTTCCTTAGCCTGCAGGAGCTGGGACAAGGCATATCCAAGGGCTTCCAGCACAGTCAGATGGGGAGACTAGAAGTAGATAGGATAGAGATCTGACTCTGAAAGCAGGGTCATAAGATTTCCTGTGACTTTCAACTCCTTAGCACAGGGCAGAGGCTGGAGCTGCCTAAACAAAGCAGGAGGGCCATGTAGAGACATGAGAGGGGAGGGCTGCCCAAGGAGGGAAAAAGCAGATGGATGCTCACCTGGATGCAGGCGGCCAAAGATGGAACGATGCCCTGTGGCAGGAGCTGCCTTCTCACAGCCTCACTCTCCACAATCAGGTTACCCAATGTATACAGACAGAGCTCCTGCGAGTGGGACAACAAAAGCTCGGGGCATGGCCTGGCTCAGGCAAGGGTGAGGGTAGGAGTGCAGAGGATCAACAGTCTTGCCCTTGAGGCTCTGGGCAAAAGGGAGTGGAAGATGATGGGCGTATGTAATGCTATGGACATTAAGGGAAACCAATTTTCCTCCCCCTCTGTGCCAGCTCAAACTAGACACAAAAGTACAATATTTAAATCCAAACCAAGAACAAGGTAGGAAGGGACAGGGCTTACTATAAAGTCTGAGCTGTGACCGGAGAGGTAGGTGAGAAGGTAGGAAGTAGCTGGCAGGCAGGCCTCAGCCACCGCAGACTGCTCAGAATGAGAGAGCTCATGAAGACACCGAGCGGCCTCAAGCTGCAACAGGGCTTGGTTGCTGGTCAGAAGCCCAACCAAGGTCCGCATGCTGCCCTCCAGCCTACATGAGTGAGTACCAGAGCCTGCTCAGCCAGTGGCCCATCCCCTCCACACTCCTGTCCATCCCTCAGAGGCCCAGGCCCCCACTCACGCCACCCCCCACTCACAAGATGAAGGCCTGCTGTGTCTCAGGATGCTGCAAGCCTCGACGAAGGCTGACCAGAGCCTTCTCTCTCTCCTTTTCCTCTGTCCCCCGCTGCGCTAACCCGAGGAACTGTTGGATCTGGAGCACAGGGCAGGGAGGGGAGAGACAGCAACACAAAGTTGCCAGAAAGCAAGCATAGTCCTACTCTGCCCACTTCACCTGTGAGCACTCCAATGTCCCACCATCTCTAGAACCTGTCATTCACACTAACGTGGCTAATATGCATCAATCTTGCAGTAGAAAGAAGGGCGAATCAGAACTGGGTTTAATACCAGCCCTGCCACTTCCTTTACAAGAAATAAATTTGTTTTTTTTTAAGATTTTATTTATTTATTCATGAGAGACAGAAAGAGAGAGGCAGAGACACAGGCAGAGGGAGCAGGCTCCCTGCGGGGAGCCCAACATGGGACTCAATCCTGGGACCCCAGGATCATACCCTGGGCAGAAGAGAGATGCTCAACCACTGAGCCACCCAGGTGTCCCCTAAATCTGTTTTTAACCTGAAAAATGGGAATAACATCTTCCCTGCTGTCTTAGAGCTATTTCAAGGATAACATTTAAACCTTTCTTGGAATGCCTAGGTGCCTCACTCAGGTCATGATCCCAGTGTCCTAGGATCAAACCCCATGTGGTCTCCCTGCTCAGCTGAGAGTCTGCTTTTCCCTGTTTCTCTGCCCCTGCTTTCACTTGTGCTTTCTCTCTCTCAAATAAATAAAATCTTTTAAAGTAAAAAAATAGAAATAATAAAAATAGAAAAAAAAAAAAAACCTTTCAGGATGGCACAACCTACCCCACTAGCCATTCTCCCCATGCAACCTATACTCCAACAACACCTAGCATAATGTGACTTGTTCTTTTAATGCTTCCAAGCTTTTGCACACTTTTTTTTTTCCCCCTTGGGATACCCTCCCCAGGCCCTCCACTCCCTTCAGATATCTGGGAAATAAGCTCTTTCTGGGTTCCTTTTGAAGACTTAGGGGTTTCTATTGTGCCTCATGTTTCCTCCATGACAGGTGGTAGCACGTGTCTTCACTGGGCTGCTGTTAGTACCGCAAGTAAAGGGACTCTCCACAGAGCACCTGGTTGGCTCAGTTGGTTAAGCCTCTGGTCATGACCCATGATCCCATGGATCCTGGGATGGGGTCCCTGTTGAACTCCCCCTCCCCCAGCTCCCACCCGAGGGGTGCACTCTTGTTCTCTAATAAAATCTTTTAAAAAAGGGAGGGGGACTCTCCTTGTCTGTGTACCTCAATATCCATCAGTGTCTTGGCATAAAGTAAGCACAAAATGAACCAATGGTATAACCTAGGCATGAGAGCTTATGTAAACAACATACATAAACACAGGCAATATAAATAAAGGGAGTGCCTAATGCTTGCTGAATGAATAAATCAGCTAAAACTAATCATGTCATTCACTTAATAAATAATGAGCATCCACTATATGCCAGATACTATAGGGCATCTGAGTTTTCAATGAAAAGTAAGATGGGGTCTAGACTCCCAGGGTTTTAAAGTCTAGTTAGAGAAACGATAAACAAGCAAACAATTAGTACAATTTATATTCTGCAAACACGCTGTCAAGACAGAACACAAAAAAGGACCCAGTAAAGCCTTGAGATAGGAAAGAGCCCAATATAGTCTTTCAAAAATGGAAAAGGGGTAACTTTGGCTCAGATGAGTAAACTGGCAAACTTGGAGGTAGGCAAACGTTAGATCATACATCTAGGAAGGAAGCAGTGTGGATTTTTAAGACACATCTGCTATATGGAGAATGAACTTGAAGTCCGCAAAGCATAGATGCAGATGACCTGTTAGAAGGCAATTATTAGTCTACGGAGCAGAGGATGGTGGTAGCTGCAATGTACACCATCGTAAAGGTGCCAGGGCTCTTTAGGGGTGAAGAACGGCTAGGACTCGACGTACTGCTGTGGGGACAAGGGACAGAGTTGTAGAGGATGATCTCCCAGTTTCTGGCTTGGCCCACTGGATGGAGGTATTTATTGAAGAGACCGCGTTCAGGTTTGGCGCGGACCTCTAAAGGAATTTGGCGCCAGGCGGCGTAGACCTCACCGCGTACCAGGTCCCCTCACCTCGGCTTCTCCGAGGGTCATGGCCACACATCCCCCTTCAGTTTCCTCCAGGGCGTCATCTCTCAACAGCCTCTTACTGATCAGTTGCTGCTCCCTCCGCGCCTTCCGCAGCGCTGGGGACAAAGAAGCCGGCTGAACGTAGAAGGGGCACCTAGGACCCTGTATCCCTTCAGCGACCCGGAGGCCCCCTCACCCAAACTCCAACCGCCAGACCACCACCACCGAGCCCCGCATCCTCCCGTCTCCCTTGCCCTCCCGCACCTGCCTCCCGCTCCCTCCAGCGACACCGTAGCTCCTCCACTGCGCAGCCCACCGGCCTGAGGCGGCCCTGCCGGCCGCTCCACATACTGGAGCTGGAGAAAATCGCTCCGAGCCTAGAACCCGAAAGCCCGAACCTAGAAGATTGCACGGACCGCGCAGCCGCAGCGCAGGGCGGAAAAGGAGGTGCGAGTGGGCGGGCACTGCGCAGAATGGAGGCGGGGCGGGGCGAGAAGGAGGGGCCAGGGGTGCGGCGGGCCGGACCGCGGGAGGGGCGGGGCGAAGGGAGGGGAAAATGGGGTGGGGCAAGAGCAGGGAAGGGCGGGGCGACAGCTAGAAGCGGGGTAGGACCTGGGCAGAGGAGAGCCTGGGCGAGACCCGCAGCACCTCCTCTGCTTCTGATTGGTATTTCTCCTTCTCAAGTCTTTCTTTTCTTTCTCTCTCTCTTTTTTAAAGATTTTATTTATTTATTCATGAGAGACTGAAGGAGAGAGAGAGGCAGAGACACAGGCAGAGGGAGAAGCAGGCTCCATGCAGGGAGCGCCAGGCAGGACTCGATTCCAGAACCTCAGGATCACGCCCTGAGCCCAAGACAGGCGCCCTCACGTCTTTCTTTTTCCCATTTCCGGGAAGAAATTCAACGTCGTCCGGGTCCAATGCGTCACCTTCCACTCAACAAATATAACCTCCCCACACATAACATACCCTAGACAAACATTCAAAACTACTCCAAATTCTAGGAAGATTTCACCAAAAACTGGGCTCCAACTAATGAACGCTGGATTTGTATTTCCCTTTTGAATATTCTCCACGACGACAATTATCCCTATTATGTTCGTATGAAGAAAATGAGACAAATACAATTATTTCACTGTTCTGCCCCAAAGTGATTCGCATTATTTTGGGGATAAAGTAAATCTTAAACCAAATTTTGAGCACCGCTAACTACTAGTTACTGGGAAAACACTGATGATTTTTTTTTTTTTATGATAGTCACAGAGAGAGAGGCAGAGACATAGGCAGAGGGAGAAGCAGGCTCCATGCACCAGGAGCCCAATGTGGGATTCGATCCCGGGTCTCCAGGATCACACCCTGGGCCAAAGGCAGGCGCTAAACCGCTGCGCCACCCAGGGATCCCTGATGGATTTTTTAAAAACCGTGTTCCTCACCCTCAGAATCTGCATTGTGACAAAACAAGCTTCTTCACTGGAAGGGCACTTCGCCTTATTCACCTCTCCCGGGATTTTCTCTTTGTTCCCTAAACAAACCCTACTCTTTTCCTTCTCCAGGCTTTTGCCCAGGCTGTTGTTCTGCCTAGAGCTCTGTCTCTGCCTGGGGGCCCCCCCAACCAGTACCCTTCCCTTAATTAATACCACCCTCAATATCTCAATTCCAATGTCCCCTACTCAAAACTACTGGACCTCTGTCCCTGTCTTAAGAGCCTATAGCACCATATACTTCATAACCTTTTTTACTGTCATGAAGTTACAGTGTAATTATCTCCTCCCCAAACCCCCTTCACACCTCCAACAGAATAGAGTCCTGGTAGCACTTAAGAATTTTTATTGGAGGGGATCCCTGGGTGGCTCAGTAGCACCTGCCTTCAGCCCAGGGCGTGAGCCTCAAGTCCCAGGATCGAATCCCACATCGGGCTCCCTGCATGGAGCCTGCTTCTCCCTCTGCCTGTGTCTCTGCCTCTCTCTCTCTCTCTTTCTCTGTGTGTGTGTGTCTCTCATGAATATATTAAAAAAAAACAACTTTAAAAAAAGAATTTTTATTGGAGGTCCCCAATTTTTAGAAAGCTATTACTTAGGGAAATGTACAAGTAAGAACAAATTCAAGAAAGGAAACTTCTTCAAATCAACTTCCTCTGGTAGTCTAGTGGTTAGGATTTGGCACTTGCAAACCAAACTTCCTTTCCTAGAGTTTAATTCCACCTCTTGGAGTCAATTGCCTTTAATCTCTTCCACAAACTGCCTAGTTAAATATCTGTAGACCAACATCCTACCCCTACATCTTTCCAGGCCCAACATCCATCTAGCTCCAGAATAGCCATTTACTAAGCAACTGCTGTGCACCATGCTCTGGCCGGGGATAGAGTCTGAGTCTTATCTCCTTTGTCACCAGACAGGCTGTTTCTAACACCTACAAATTTCCTTTGGTAGGGGAGGTAAGACAAGTTACCAGGCAAAATGTCTGCCCAGACCGTTACAGCTGCCCATCCTGCTTTTGTTTTTTTTGTTGTTGTTGTTGTTTTGTACTTATCTGCCCTGTCAACCCTGTAAAAAACAGCCCCATGTCCTCTCTAATACAGAACTAGCTGTTCCTTTCTCCACAGCTTCCACAAGTCCTTAGTTTCTCCTCTGTGAGTCCTTTTCCCTGTGGACTAGTCTGGATCTGTGTTTGCCTCCCCCACTTATTGGAGTACTTGAGAGACTGTCTGATAGTCATGTCTGCATCCCTGGGCTTTGTACCAGTCCTGACACTTGGTAGATAAATGACAGATATTTGTTGAATCAAAGTGTGAGTCAGGGATGTTTGGAAAATCATCACTGCCCCTCTTCGCTTGCAACTGTCAACCAGAGTGCCTCCCCTAAAATGATAATATTTGCTAAGGAGCCAGGCTTCAGTGGCCTGAGCCTTCTGAATGCAGAGGCATTGATGAAGAATGTAAAAATCAGGACTACTCTTAATAGATGTGGCTCTGTAATCATAGAAAGGTACTATCATTATCTCCATTTTACAGATCAGAAGCCCAGAAATCTGAGCCCCCCAAACTTGTCCAAGTCTTACAACCTCAGTGGTAGAGCTGGGATTTCAAGCCTGGCTGACTGCAGAGTCAGTGTATTTAACACTGAGCTATACTCACATTCCTAGTCCTCAGTGGTGTTCTAGAGATCAGGCCTGGCTGGCCTTGGGGCATGGCTCAGGGTATCAGGGCATGCCCAACAAGATACATTGGGGCAGTGTGGTCTAATGAAGCCACGTTGTTTGGAATGAGGACAGATGTGAAGCTATTTATAAAAAAAAATAGGAGAAGTGAGAATTCAAAAAATTTTAATATAGCTCTTGCCCCAGAATCCAGAGGTGAAGAACTGTAAGGGCTGTTGTAAAAGCACAACCCCTATTCCACCATCTGGGATATTTGCTTTTTTTTCTTTTGCAAAACAGGTAAGTTACTAATTAATCTTCATTCAACATAGGTCCAATATTTCCTTCCTAGGACATAGCAATTGTGTTGGGGGGAAGGGTAGGGGGAGAGCTAGGTGCAAGGGGGAAAACTGGGTTAGAAATACCTGTTTCTCAGTTTCAGGGCAAAGAAATGGAAACTGCAAGAGATGGAGCTACTTGGCCAATATGTCTCTGTTAAACACCTCTATTTTTAAGAAAGCTATTACTTTCTGGGCACCTGGGTAGTTCAGTCAGTTAAGCATTTTATCTTGATTTTGGCTCAAGTCATGATCTCAGGGTCATGGGATTGAGCCTGCATGGGGCTCCCCAATCATCAGGGAGTCTGCTTTTCCTTTTCCCTCTGCTCCTCCCCCCTGCTTGAGCTCTCTCTCTCTCTCTTCCTGAAATGAATAAATAAATCTTTTTTAAAAAGAAAGAAAGCTAGGGCCTCTGGGTGGCTTAGTTGTTCAAGTATTCCAATCTTGGTTTCAGCTCAGGATCCTGGTATCCAGCCCGTCATTAGTCTGGGTGCTCAGCATGAAGTATGCTTTTCCCACTCCCTCTGCTCCTCACCTTACTCTGTCTTTCTCAAATAAATAAATAATCTTTTTTTTTTTTAAAGAAAGCGGTTACTTTCTTAATAAAGTTTTAAAAAGAGCAAGTCTTTGGGATGCCTGGGTTAAAGCGTCTGCCTTTGGTTCAGGGCATGATCCTGGAGTTCTGGGATCAAGTCCCACATCAGGCTCCCTTGCATGGAGCCGGCTTCTCCCTCTGCCTGTGTCTCTGCCTCTCTGTTTCTGTGTGTGTCTGTCATGAATAAATAAATAAAATATTTAAAAATAAAAGGGGAAGAGAGAGTTGTTCTTCAAACCAACTTCCTTTTCTTGAATCTCATTCTATCTCTTGGAGTTAATAGATGGTTTGCAATCTCTTCCAAAAAAATTATCTAGTTAAATATCCGATGGCATTCAGGGGATTGGAACTGGGTGTCAGCAAGTTATCACCAAGACTAGGGAAACGTTAGAGAAACTCCCCAATTGCATCGCTGAAATATAAGCAGAGGGAGGTGAGAGTCTTGGCTTGAGGCACTAGGGATCTTTCTTTCCCCATAGCTAGCAAACAAGCCTGGGGTGTCTGACTCATCAGGGCACTGCCTGGGGCATTGCACTCTACATTCCCTACAAGATCCTTCCTGTTATAGTCCTGGCAACATCCTTCATTGCAAAATTTCCCGGAAGGGTAGTGCATGGAGTGGTTGGGTGGCAGAGACGTGGGAGTGACCAGGGTTCACGGAGGAAGGAACCGAGTGACATCCCAAGGGTTGCATAAACTCCCAGGCCGCCAAAGAGGACAGATACTGTGGAACCTAGAAACCATTGAGTGCCTCTGTATAGGAAAGAAGCCGGAGCCCTTCCCCGAGCCCGCTGGAACGTAGAGGCTCGAAGCACCGATTGACCATGGTGAGTGGATGATCTTGAGGCCCAGAGGGAATTACTCAAGGAACCCCAGGGACTGGCTGGGGCTGCCCTGACCTCTGCTTTCTTCCTAGATATGCACACCCTGCTTGCTGCTGCTGCTGCTGCCGCCGGTGCTGTGCGTCTCTGAGACCTCACTAGAGCCCTGCGAAGTAGATGACGACGATTTCCGCTGCTTCTGCAACTTCACGGATCCGCAGCCCGACTGGTCGAGCGCATTCCAGTGTATGATTGCCGTCGAGGTGGAGATCCACGGCGGCGGCCGCAGCCTGGAACAATTTCTAAAGGGCGCAGACGCGGACCCAAAGCAGTACGCTGACATGGTCAAGGCCCTGCGTTTGCGGCGGCTCACCGTGGCCTCTGCACAGGTTCCTGCTGTGCTGGTGACCGCCTTCCTGCGGGCGCTGGGGTACTCCCGCCTCAAGGAACTGACGCTCCAGGACCTGGAGGTAACCGGCACGCCGCCGCCGCCGCTTCTGGAAGCCACTGGGCCTGCGCTGTCCACCCTCACCCTCCGGAACGTGTCGTGGGCAACGGGAAGTGCCTGGCTCGCCGAACTGCAGCGGTGGCTGAAGCCGGGCCTCAAGGTACTGAACATCGCGCAGGCACACTCGCTTGCTTTTTCCTGCGCACGACTCCGCACCTTCCCGGCGCTCACCACCTTAGACCTATCCGACAATCCCGGACTGGGAGAGCACGGACTGACTTCGGCTCTCTGTCCGCAGAAGTTCCCGGCCCTCCAGGCTCTAGTTTTGCGCAACGCGGGAATGGATACGCCGAACGGCGTGTGCGCGGCGATGGCGGTGGCGGGTGTGCAACCCCGCCACCTAGACCTCAGCCACAACTCGCTGCGCGCTACCGCCCCAGGCGCTCCTGCGTGTGTCTGGCCCAGCGCCCTGGACTCTCTCAACTTGTCCTTCTCTGGGCTGGGGCAGGTGCCTAAGGGACTACCCGCCAGGCTTAGCGTGCTTGATCTTAGGTGCAACAAGCTGAACAGAGAGCCTCGGCTAGAAGAGCTGCCTAAGGTGAGTAACCTGACACTGGACGGGAATCCCTTTCTGGACCCCGAAGCTCCCAAGTACCAAGAAAACCCGACGACGTCTGGCGTGGTCCCATCCTGTGCGCGTTCGGGCCTGGCGGTGGGGATGTCAGGAACTCTCGCGGTGCTTCAAAGGGTGGGGGGCTTTGCCTAAGGCCCAGGAGAGACGAATGAATTGCCTCAGATTGCCCTGCTTCCAGCAAAGCCTTATCAGGACGTTTTAACCAACCAACCTGCAGCCCTATCTTCATTAAAATCTGGAACAACGATCCGTGTCATTCACTCGACGGGTGGGTACTGGGTGTCTGCTGGGGCACAGTGCTGGATGTGGAATCCATTATATTTAGACTTCTTTCATCCTAATTCCCTAGAAACCTAAGAATAGAATTTAGAGGACAGAAGGGGCAGGGAATGTTGCCTGTCTAGGCTGTGGTGAGAAACGGGGGTTTCTGTGCAGTTGGGCTTTCTGAGATTACTTGCACCTGTGTTAAAGTTTAAAAGAGGGGCGCCTACCCGGGATCGAATCCCACGTCGGGCTCCCGGTGCATGGAGCCTGCTTCTCCCTCTGCCTATGTATCTGCCTGTCTCTCTCTGTGTGTGTGACTATCATAAATACAAATTAAAAAAAAAAAAAGAGGGGCGCCTGGGTGGCTCAGCGGTGGAGCGTCTGCCTTTGGCTCAGGCTGTGATCCCGGGGTGCCAGATTGAGTCCCACATCGGGCTCCTGCATGGAGCCTGCTTCTCCCTCTGCCTGTGTCTCTGCCTTTCTCTCTCTCTCTGTCTCTCATGAATGGGTAAATAAAATCTTTAAAAAATAAATAAATAATAAAGTTTAAAAGACTTTTTGTTTGTTTGTTTAAAAAGATATTGAATGAATGGTAAACATGCTTAGGAAAATACAGGATATTTCTTCTCTGGTGCACTTTCCAAGAGCCATCTGCTCCCTCTTTCAAAGCAGAGTTATCTGCTTATTCTCCCTCTTTCTCTCTCCCACTACCCAGAGAGAGAAGGGACAACTCTGCCATCTGTCCTACATAAGTTGTGAGTTTCATAATTTCAGGGTTTCTCTTCTGCTGTGTAAAGCCCCTCTGCGCATCCAGGTACCCTGGCTTTCACTGTGTCATCTAATAGAGAATGTGGACATGGAGGGCTGTTGGAAGATGCTGTCATTAAACAGTCTATCTCTGAACCAGAGATTTTTGTCATTAGGTTAATAAATGTGTTTATAATTGTTTCTGGTTGGATCTTTGACTTGCAAATAGGCTAACAGCTTAGACCCTTCATAGCATCTTAGATCTTTCACAGGACAATTAATGACATGTGCCCTCCAAACCACATTAACTCAGAGACCCAGAGCATCAGCCAAGAGGTACTGTTCCTTCTAGGCGTCCCTTCTTTTCATCGAGGAGACAGCCACATCCATTAGAGAGCTAGACACCTGCCTCACAGAGAACCTGGGACAGGGATGGGAGGGAGATATAAACACAGCCCTCTGGCCTGCCTCCCTCCAGCGTCCAGAGCCACACAGATAGGAATGGAGGATTCAAAGTAACATTGATAGGAGAGTTACAACATACCGTACTACAGACCTAAAGAACCATGGGGACAGATAAATAAGCTGCCAATTCCAGGGAATCCCTGGGTGGCGCAGCGGTTTGGCACCTGCCTTTGGCCCAGGGCCCGATCCTGGAGACCCGGGATCGAATCCCACGTCGGGCTCCCGGTGCATGGAGCCTGTTTCTCCCTCGGCCTGTGTCTCTGCCTCTCTCTCTCTCTCTCTGTGACTATCATAAATAAATAAAAAATTAAAAAAAAAAACATTCAAAGCTGCCAATTCCAGTTAGGAAACCCCCTGGAGTATCCCCAAGAAGACTTCATCCAGCCTCTTGGAACATTTCCGGTATCCGAGAACTAACCACCTCAAGCAGCTCCTTATATTTGACTAGCTTTGAGCACTCTTTTTCTTTCAACATTTTATTTATTTTTTTTCATGAGAGACACAGGAAGAGGCAGAGACATAGGCAGAGGGAGAAGCAGGCTCCTCGCGGGGAGCCTGATGTGGGACTCCATCCCTGGACAGTGATCACTCCCTGAGCTGAAGGCAGACGCTCAACTGCTGAGCCACCCAGGCATCCCATCCTGCTTTGAGTACTCTTCATCAAAGTTATGCTCAGAGTTATGCCCCTGCTCAACCTTAGGCCCCGTGTTACCATCTTGATATACAGATATGAATCCAAAACATCCACATCCTCTGGGAATTCTCAATCCAATAAGGGGGATGTACACAGAAAAGATAACTGTGATTCAGTGAGTGGGAGAGATCAATCTACGAGGTCCTCTGGAAGGCTGTACAGAAAAGGAGACATTTAATCTGGGTCCTGAAAGGTGAATATTGCTTCTTCAGGAAGGATATTCCCAGGAAAAAATGGGTACTTTAAAAGGCTCAGAAACATGAAAGCTTATGGCCAGATCTGGGAAATGTAACTGATTAGGTAGGGCTGGAGATCATAGTGATGGAAGCAGGAGACCTTCATTCAAGTGCCGATTATGTACCAGGCACTATGTTAAACCCCATGGATATAGCAGGAATAATACAAAACCAGGTAGAGCGAAGGGCCAGTGTGAAAAAAAAGAATACCAGAGTGGAATGGTTAGAATATGTTGAGAAGAGACAGGGACAAAGGTAGGGAAGGAAGCATAGGAGACTGCTGACCACTCTGTTTCTATGTCCCCCACCTGAAAAGTTCTCAGGCCTCCTCCTTGTCTCTGTCTCCTTTAGGGACTCTGCTTCCTGCATCCTTAAATGCTGACTGATGTTTTCCAAGTTTCCCTTTTTAGCAGTCTCACTTCTTGCTCTACCCCTTCCAGGGCTCAGGGAGCTTCCCCATGCCTATGACTTTACTACCACTTCTACACTGAGGGCTCCTCAATTCTTGAATGCAGCCCAAACTTGTCTTGTCAGATCTAAACCCCAAAGACCAGTAGCTACTGGATTTCTCCACAGGGAGGTCCCTGAGACACTTTATGCTCTTTTTTTTCTTTTTAAGATTTTATTTATTTATTCATGAGAGACACAGACAGAGAGGCAGAAACAAAGGCAGAGGGAGAAGCAGGTTGCCTGTCATGAGCCTGGTGTGGGACTTGATTCCAGGACCCCGTGATCAAGCCCTGAGCCAAAGGCAGAAGATCAACAGTGGAGCCACCCAGGTGCCCTGAGGCACTGTAAGCTCTTAAATGCCCTTCCCCCAATCTTCTTTTTCTTTTGCATTTCCATCCCCCTGAGTAAAACCAGCTTCATCTAAACCATAATTCTGAGGCATCTTATCTTCACCCATATTCAAGCATCCTGGAACTCATCGGGTTCTGCCTCTTTCAGAGCTCTTGGAGCCTCCTTCCCTCACATTCCTATGCAGCTGTCCTGGTCAGGTTCTCACCCTTTCTCACCTGGACTCATTCAGTAACCTCCACGGTGCTCCCTTAGAATCTGCTGATCCATCCTCCATGTGGCAACCTGTGGGCTTTTTCAAACACACACCTGCTTCCAGTAACTGTCCACTTAAAACTCATTAATGACTCCTCACATCCTGCAGGATTATCTCTAAATCCCTTCATGCTTTTAGTGATATCTCTCTTTTGCTCAGAGAAAAATGGTTCTTAAGCTTATTAAGTGCAAAAGCTGAAGTCCTTACTATGCTCTGTACTTATGGTGCTTCTCAAACTCACTTTGACAAGGGACCAAGTTTCTTTTTTAAAGTTGCAATCTGGGACGCCTGGGTGGCTCAGTGGTTGAGCTCCTTGCCTTCAACTCAGGGCCTGATCCCAGGGTTCTAGGATCGAGTTCCACGTCGGGCTCCCTGCATGGAGCCTGCTTCTCCCTCTGCCTGTGTCTCTGCCTCTCTCTCTGTCTCTCATGAATAAATAAAATATTTAAATAAATTAAAAAAAATAAAGTTGCAATCCATTGTGGACGATATTTTTATAAAATATAATTGAAATTGCTGCAATGTGAAATTTCATAAAAATATCTAAACATTCATTCTTGACTTTTTTTTAAAGATTTTATTTATTCATGAGAGACAGAGACATAGGCAAGAGGGAGAAGCAGGCTCCCTCTTGAAGAAGTGGGGAGCCCGATGAGGGACTTCTGGCCCCTGGGATCATGACCTGAACCAAAGGCTGATGATCAACCACTGTGCCCCCCAGGTGTCCCCATTCTTGACTTTTTAAACTTACCTCCTCATAGTGCAGTAACATATAGTGTATGGGCTGTCACTTGCCTTGGATGATATTTTGTGTAGCACTGCTTTACGAGGCCCTACATAATGTGGCCCTGCTATTATCAAGTTTTCTCTTACTGTTCTTGCCTACCACCTCTGCTCACCCTGCTTCAACCACTGTGGCCTTCTTATTGTTTCCTTTAACATTCCAAGGACCTCAGGATCTTTGCGCTTGCCATGGCTTCTGACTGAAATGCTATTCCCACAAATATCCTCAAGCTCACGTAAATTTGCATATATTTTCATTTAAATTCAATTAATTAGGATAGCCCCAGTGGCCCAGCGGTTTAGCGCCGCCTTCAGCCAGGGGTGTGATCCTGGAGACCCAGGAGGATCGAGTCCCACCTCGGGCTCCCTGCATGGAGCCTGCTTCTCCCTCTGCCTGTGTCTCTGCCTCTCTCTCTCTCTGTCTCTGTCTCTCTCATGAATAAATAAATAAAATCTTTTAAAAAATAAATTCAATTAATTAACATATAGTGTATTAGTTTCAGAGATGAAGTCAGTGATTCATCAGTCCTATGTAACTCCCAGTGCTCATCACATCACGTGCACTCCTTAATGCCTATCACTCAGTTGTCCCATCCCCTCATGCCCCTCCCCATATGTGACTCTTGGTTTGTTTCCTCTGATTAAGAGTCTCATGGTTTGTCCGCCTCTCAGACTTCATCTTGTTTTATTTTTCCCTCCCTTCCCCGATGCTTTTTGCGCAACAATTATTTAGTGAGTTCTCACTACATGGCGAGCACTCAGAAGTGCTGAGGATATGGGGATCCCTGGGTGGTTTAGTGCCTGCCTTTGGCTCAGGGCAGATCCTGGAGTCCTGGGATCGAGTCCCACATCAGGCTCCCTGCATGGAGCCTGCTTCTCCCTCTGCCTGTGTCTCTGCCTCTCTCTCTCTGCCTGTCTCTCATGAATAAATAAATAAAATCTTTAAAAAAAAAAAAAAGAAGTACTGAGAATACATTAGTGAACAGAGCAGCAAAAGTCCCTGTTCTTAAAATGCTTACACATTGCGGTGGGGAGAATAAAATCTATAGTGTGTTAGAAGATAAATACTATGGAAAAAAATAGAGCAGGGGCAAAACAATCAGGAGTGTTGAGGGAGAGTGTTAAAGATTACAATTTTATATTAATGTGTAGAATAGACCTGAGAATGTGATTTCCGAGCAAAGATTTGAGAGAGGTGAGAAAGTGTGAGCTTTGGTAAGCATTGATCTTAATCATTTAAATGTAAAGTCTTCTAATCCATGAAAATGGAATGATTTTCCATTTAGTTGTGTCTTTAATTCTTTCAGCAATGTTTTGTAGTTTTCACTCTACAAGTCTTTAACCTCGTTGGTTAATTCCCAAGTATTTTATTCTTTTGGATGCTATTGTAAATGGAATTGTTTTTCTTAATTTCCTGCTCAGATTGTTCATTATTAGCATATAGAAACTCACCAGAGGGTGCCTGGGTGCCCTAGTGGGTTAAGCATCTGCTTTTAGCTCAGCTCATAATATCGAGGTCCTGAGATTAAGCCCCCCATGGGGCTCCCTGCTCAGTGGAGAGTCTGCTTCTCCCTCTCCCTCTGCTCTTCCTCCTTGCTCATGCTCTCTCTCCCTCTCTCTTTCTCAAATAAATTTTTAAAAATTAAAAAATAGAAACTCATTATATTTTACGTGTTAATTTTGTATCCTGAAACATTCCTGAATTTGTTCATTCTAACAGGTTTTTTTTGTATGTGGAATCTTTATCATTTTCTTTTTTAAAAAAAATTTATTTGAGAGAGATAGCATGTGCATGAGTGAGTGGGGGGAGGGGCAGAGGGAGAGAATCTTCAAGCCAACTCCCCAACGAGCATAGAGACCATCTAGAAGCTCAATCCCACAACGCATGAGATCATGACCTGAGCCAAAACCAAGAGTTG